AAGAAGAGGGGATAGTGGACAGCCTTGTCTAAGGCTTCTCTTAGCTTGGAATTCAATGGTGAGGGATCCATTCACTAAGACTGAGATTCGAGAGGAAGAGAGATACATTTTAACCCAAGAAAGCCAATTGTTTCCGAAACCCATGATAAGGAGAACGTCCATCAAATAATACCATAAGACAGAGTCAAAAGCTTTCTCGAAATCTAATTTGAGAATAAGGCCTTCCAACTTGTTTCTTTTCCAAGAATCGACAATCTCATTAGCAATAAGAACACCATCGAGGATTTGGCGCCCCTTCAAGAATGCACTTTGGTTGGGAGAAATCAAAATCACTAATATGACATTGAAGTCTGCAGGAAAGTATTTTGGTGATAACTTTATAAACAGATCCTATGAGCGATATAGGCCGAAAATCCTTGAAACTATTCGTGCCTGAGATTTTTGGGATTAAAGCAATAAAGGAGGAGAAAATCTCTATTGGAACATTCTCATGATTTGCAAAAGCAAGTACACATTTAGAAAGATCAAAACCAATGACATCCCACATGCTTTTGAAGAAATTGAAATTGAAACCATTAGGTCCAGGAGTTTTAGACCTTGCACAACCCCATACTACATTCTTTATTTCATCCAGGGATAAAGGAGATTCCAGAAATTCTCTAGCTTTATTAGATAAAGAGGGTACAGAGAGTTTCTTTCACCTGTAAAAGAAGAAGCGATATTAAAAGTACCAGGATCAAAAATTGTAATTACCCCTCCTTGGGAGTTTGAAGAAGGAGAAGCCACCCAATCAAAGTCAAAACTGTCGCAAAGGTTGAAGTTTCTTTACGAAGTCCCTGAGCTCCCTTTTCTTAATAAAGGAGGAAGCATCCCTCGCATTCCAAGATAGGAATGTCATTTGAGAAGGGTTTTCTCCGCGGCCAGAGATTGGTCCCTGGTATTTAGGCCTTTGAAAATATCAACAAGATCTTCTCTGTTTTTCCCTTCTTTGTTTTTCCCTTCGGTCAGACCCAAGAATTCAGCAATCTCCCGAGTTCTTTCTGCCTCTGTTAATGGATCACACTCTTGTGTTTCATTAGAGTTAAAAGCCTGGTTCCTGTTGTGAATCCCACTGTCAGTAATGGAGAAATCATGGGTGTTGCTAGAATATGTGGAAGTAGTTGTTTGAGGGATGGGAATGGTTAGAGAGAGTTTCTTAGACTTGGATTTTCTTTTTCTGGATTTTTTGTTTTTTGTTTTATCAGGGACTAAAGCCCATTTTTGTGGGAGAGGAAGATTTCTGAAATCTTCTTTGATTTTCTTTTCCCCTTGTTTGCCAACCCAGATGCTTTTAGTGCTTTGGGGTTTTCATCATCAAAGCCGTGTTGAAAAAGGTCGGAGTTTTGGGCTTGGATGTTATGTAGATCAAATGGAATGATGGCCCAACAGTCTTCGTTGTTGCGAGGTGACTTTAGGGGGGTAGAGGCTTTTGATCTAACTTTCTGGGTAGAGCAGCGCCGCGAAGGATTCTGACAGTGGATAGAGGAAAAGGAAGACGCTCTGGAGAGGGAAATCATTGGGGAATTAATGGCATTATTTGTAAAGTTAGCATGCAGCTGTTCTTTATCAGTTGAAAAAATTTCTTGCACATCACCCGAGACAGAAATAGGGGACAAAGGAGATTTCAAATTTGTCTCTTGTCCCACCGAGACTTTCCAGCTTCCATGAATGTTGGGAGTTATAGCCTCGTCGGAAAAAGTAGAATTCCAATCATTGCTCACTGGAGAGAAGGCAGAAATTGAACCATTGTCGTTAGGAGAAATAGGAGCTTCAAACTTTTTCTTTAGGATTGGTTTGAAAATCTTAATCTGAAAGCAAATGAACTGTGTCTGTGGCTGATTCTTCTTGAACTAAAAATCTTGTAGATCTTTCCATCGACTTTGATTTTCAACACTTGATTAATGGGGTTTGGATCAACTGTAGCCTCGCCACATTTAATCTTCGTTTCCTTTCAGTGCTTTCATCTGGGCCTAGAGCTTTTCCCCAGGTGGTTCCAATTGCACTCATAATTCTCCAGTTCCAAGCATGGAGGGGAATGCCTGTGCATCTAATCCAGAATAATCTTTCAATACAAAAGTCTTCTTCATCCCATTGTTTAACCACGTCAAACCACTGGCTAAGCCATTCGACACCATCTGATAGAAGACTCTCCATTTGGTCCTTAGTGTTGAAAATTAGGAGAACCATGTTACCACTAAGAAGTTTGACGTCCACATAAAAGACTCGCTCCATCTGGAAATTTTCCGGTAAAGAAGGAATTATTTCTGGATATCTGACATATCCAAGAACGCTTAATTTTAGCCATTCTTTTTCATTATTACTGTAAACAAATTCAAGCCCGCATGTCTCTTCGAAATGAGATGCATCAGATTTGTGATTTTTCTTGTTTTTTCCAATCACTGCATCTTTGTATGATCGAGTGGTGGTGACAGGTATATTTTTGTGTATTGAATCCTCCAAAGGTGGCTTTCTCAGGGTGTAGTTTTGCTGGATTTTTGTGGGAGAGAAGGGTCTAGCGTGTGAAGAATAAATTCTATAACCTTCAAGGAGTGACCTGTTTGTCTTTTTTATGGCTAACGAAGCTTCCTCTATGGTTTTGAAACGAACGAATACATATTTGAATGATTTTTTCTTTTGGGAGTTGTTGGGTAGGTAGACTTCCATTACACGACCAAATTGGTTGAAGAGATTTTTGATGGACAAGGGAGTGGTGGTTGAAGGTTTGATATGGCTGACATAGACACTAACTAACAAAGATTTTCTCCATTGAGCTTCTTTATTCAAATGGCCTTGTTTGGGTTTTAATGCTCGAGTTTAAAGCCTCTTCTTGAAAAAAAAAAAAAAATCAATGCATTTACATATTTTAACGGTCGTTTGGAATAAATGAATTCGACTTAATTTTGTGGAATTTCTTTAGAAATTTATATTTTTTATTTGAAATAAAAAAAATTGTAGATTTCAATTTAGAATGATACACCAAATTCCACAAAAAAATATGTGGAATTTCCAATTGAATTTCATAAAATTGAGCAATCCAATTTTTATGATAAAATTACCATTCACCATCTACAAAGCCAATTTTTTTTATTATTTACTTATTTAACTTATTTATTTTATCAAACTTGACCAAAACCATTCAAATTTTTTTTTTCAAAATTATTTTCTTATTATTGTGTTTTTTTAATATTTTTCATCTTTTATTTTAATATTTTTATGAATTTTTTTACTATTGAGAAGAGAGATTGAAGTTAAATATCATGTATCACTAAATTAAATGCAATAATTGTATTAATATTATTTTTATTTTATATACTTATTTTAATAAAAATATTTAAAAAATTATAAAACATAACATAAATATAATTATTTATTTTTGTGAAATTACTATTTTAAGAATATTTTAAGAAAGAAAAGCAGATAAATGAATTTTCAATTATAAATTTATTCCGTACATAATTATGTTCAATACAATTGAATTAGAAATTTTAAATTAATTATACTAAACATAAAAATTCATTCACAAATGAATTCAATATTTTAAATTCATTTATATCAAACGGAGTGTAAATGTAATTTTAACTAAACAAATCAAAATTAAAATAAATAATAATATTTTCTTAGCCTCCAAGTTTGACCCAAAACTTTGTATCGAATGTCATCAAAATTAAAATAAAATTAATAATATTTTTTTAGCCTCCAAGTTTGACCCAAAACTTTGTATCGAATGCATATATATATATATATATATATATTATATTATATATTATATATATATATGTGCGCGCTTGTGTGTTTTCTATATATATGTGCGCGCTTGTGTGTTCCCATATTATTATAAATTATTTTAAGATATAGAACATCAACTGAACTCTATCTATAATTTAATTATTTATGTTTTCATGTTTATTACTCAAATAGTTATTTATAAATAAATTTTGATCATATTTAGTATGATAAGATTAAAATAAGATTGTTTTTCAGTAATTAATTCAAATATTTATTAGAAATATGTTTGTCAACAAAAGCTGGTCATTTCACATTAATTTAGCATGTGGGTTAATACCTAATTTAATTTTTAGCTTTTGGACAGTAAATTACAGGAAAAATACTTGTTTAGGCTGGTCTATGGACCAAACTAATAAAAATAAATTTTTTTCAAAAATTCATATTTAAAAATACTTGTTTAGACAGGTCTATGGACCAAACTAATGAAAATAAAAATTTTTTAAAAATTCATATTTTATCCTTTTCCTTACATAGAAATATTATTGTTTCATTAAAAATTTCTATTTTTATCGATTTGGAATTTTTTTGCACAAGTCAATATATTTTCACGGGTGGCCTCTTATTTCGAATTTCTTGTATTGTTCTTCATGAATTTAACTTTCTCCAATGAGCTTTGGATCGACTATCTCGAATTCGTCTAAGCGATGTCCTTTTAACTTGCCATTCTCGACAACAAAAGATACTCTCTTCCAATGTATTATACGGTTTACAAAAATATATCTACATCTGGTGCATAAGCCCATTTATACACTAAATCAATAATAAATAATATTTTAATTCAAATGAGAGTATTTTTAACCATCCACTAGAAGAAAAGAAAAAAAAAATGATATTCTTTTAAAAAGTCTTTTTGAAATTATCCATATAAAATGTTGGCAAGAATTTTTCCTAAGTTGAGTAAACAAATTCTATGCACCCATAGACGGAGTCTAAACAAATCTACCAAACTAAAAGTACATAAATTCTTCATTGCTTTTTTTTTTTTTTTTTTAAAATTCGTTCATTCGATTGCTTTTTTTTTTTTTTTTTGAAATCCGCAAATCAACTTGTTTCTAACCTGAAAACACTTAAATTTGGAATTGATTTTCGAACTAGTTTTCAAAACTCATTTTGATTTTTTAAATATTTTATAAACTAAGGCTAGGAAAAAAAAAACTTAGTTTTACAAATCTTGGTTTCTGAAACTTAAATATTAAAAATATATATAATGAAATGTTGCCCAATCACAATGCGAGACTGATACTTAAAATATTTTAAAAGATATCATACAAGATTTTGTAATGAATTACAACTTAAAAGTTCATAAACTTTTTTTTTTGATAAGCTTCATGTATATTATTACTAGAAGGTGCTGGAAAAGTACTACCTTTTTGAAATGTTTCTCAGACCTCCTCTGAATGTGCTAAAACATGTTGTTGAATTACAAGCACAGAAGACAAAACACCGTGCCTCGACGAGGCTAACATATCCCCAGTTGGCCCCAACTCTGCATGCTCTGGTTGGTGGTGGTGTGCCAATTCTGCCACCATAGTTGACGGAATCCGCCCTTTCCCAACAACAATAAGATCATAATCTTTGCTTCTTCCTATTTCTAAAACCTCTTGTACAATGTTATTAGCTGCCTTCTCTATGTATTCTATTGTTCCATCCCACTTCCTTCGAAATTCTGCCAGTGCACTATCATCCATTTCCTAATAGGTTTCAATAAGCGAAAATTAGTTAAATGTTGCAATATATATATATATAATATATATAATATATATATATATATATATATTATTTATATATGTATAATATATTATTACTGGACTCTAGAAAAGGACGTACCCTTTTGTTTTTCTGGTGTGATTGTGCTGGTAGAAAAGCTTGTAGCTATTGATACCAATATATATTATTACTGGACTCTAGAAAAGGACGTACCTTTTGTTTTTCTGGGTTGATTGTTGCTGTAGAAAAGCTGTAGCTATGATACCATGGAGAAGAAGGTAATGACAAAGTAGCTTTGCTCTGCACCGCTTCTTTTTCCAAAAATCTCACAACACTAACCTTAATCCCCGGATGCGCTGCCATTCTACCACCCAACTCCAACGCCTCGCGATCATCTCCTCCGCCAAAGAATATAACACATATCTTATGTGCCACAACACCATTAGGTTCTGGAGTTTGGGGCCCATTCCCAAATCCACGGTCAACGAAGATCGCTGCTGAACATGGCGATTTCTTTAAAACTTTCTGATTAACCCCTCTCCATTCATGGCCTACATTTTCTATAACCTCCACACCATCATCCCCGGCTTTCCATTGTTTGTGAAAAGGCAAAATAATCAAAGTCACTCTTTTAGTCTCTGCCACATGGCAGATATCTTGATGCATAGTTGACAATGGAGATATAGTTGTTGAGGGTCGAACCGATACCCGACCAAGCTCACTGTAAGCTTGGAATGCTCCGGCCACCCGATCATGCCACACTCCACGGCGCAGACGGTTAATAAAAGGCAGTCCATTTTTCCGCATACGTTGAACCATGATGATGGAAGAGGATCGCTCAGTGAGTTGAACGAGGTGCATAATAAACAGTTTGAGTTGGGATTTTTTTGTACTGCGAATTGACTCAATCAGGCTAATGAGCGAGGGTACGTTTCCTGGACCATGAAGACATGCAAGAATGCGTAGCTCGTCTTTGAAGTTATTTGTTGAAGATAAGTCGCCCAGCTTGCGACAAGTAGTGGGTGTGGACGTTGCATTGCTACGACGCGCCGGTTTGTAGATTGCCATGACTGCTGGAGTTGTTATGAAGGTAGTGAAGAATGCCATTAGTACTAAAATGGCAAATACTTCGTCGCCTAACACCTGTATTATAGGAGATGCCGGGTTATTACCATATTAGCCTTTAAGTTTAATAATTAATCCGCTTGTCATATTGTTAGTTTAACATTATTCCTTCATATCCGAAATATAAAAATAATATAAATTCTTGCATGATAATTAGTTATTAAGTAAATATCAAAATTGAAAAGAATTATTTCAGCGCACCAAATCATAGTCTAGTAATAAGTGCATATACCTCTTGACAATAGATTTAGATTCGAATCCCTTTCTCCAATGCTAAAAAAAATTATTTCAAAAAAAATACATAATTCTCTCTCTTGATATAATTGTTTTTTTAACCAAATAAACTGTTTTTGCACTTTGACTAGTAAGTAGTTTTAATTTAAGAGCAAATGATTATTTAGTTTTGGTTTTAGTTAAATACACTCTCTTGTACCTCTATTTTTAGGATTTAATTATATAATCTCTCCGTTTTAAGTGCATTACATTATTTAGTTTTTCCGTCAAGTTGCCTATTCATTTAATATGAAATGTCGGTATCACCCTTTAATGGTAATACATGCATCACAAGTGGCATCTAAAAGAGTCAAAATTTATCTCTATCTAAATTACATTTTCACGCTTCCCTTTACGATAAGGCTGTCATTTCCACTAACAAGTTGGTTGAGGTAATAATAAACTTTAATCTGTAAAAATATAAATTTAATCTCTGAGAAAAAATATAAATTTAATTTTTGAAAAACGCACTTTACTGGAAAATGGATAAAAAATTATTAATTTTTGTTTAAGTTATATTGTTTTTGTTCAAGGAAAATGGGGGTATTTTCGTACCATAAGGTTTTTCTTTTTCCTTTTCTTTCTTTTTCTTTTAATTTAAAAAATGGTTAACATATAAGGGCAATTGTGTAGAAAAGTGAAAGAAGGATCAAAGTATAATAGACTAAAAATGAAATTTCTTGACATAATATATGCTAAGTACAATTAAATTTCAAAAATATATTTATTGATTATGTATTCTAAATTTAATTAGTTCTAAAAAGTTTGAGATTGACTTGTCTAAACCGGGTTTTATCTTACTCATAATATATAAAGATGTGCCCCTCTTAAAAATTTGTGATTTAAAAAAAAGTATAAATTACAATAATTATAAGTTTGTAATTATTGATATCTAATTTTTTTTTTTTTCATCAATTACCTATAGTTCTACTTTTCAAATAATTACTTTTTTTTTAACAAATTACCAATAGTTTGAATTCATAATCTTATAATTTATATTTCTAAACTACCAAGCCATAGGTACACTAGTAGTTAAGATTTAAGATTTAGTTATATCCAAATCCTAGGTAAGCAATAAGGATTTAAACAAAAAAAAAAAAAAGAATAATTATTACTATCATATAATTTATTTTAACTCTAGGGTAATAAAAATGAAATTTGAATATAAGAATAAAAAAGTAAGGCAAAAATGTATATAAAGCTTAAGAGTGGGAACTCACTTTCTTTTCCTTGCCAATTCTGAGGACGATAAGTTCTACCATTCCCTTAGTATTCATCAAGACACCGAGCGTCAACGACTCTCTCACCGGAATCATAAACATCATCGCAACAACAAACGTTCCGATAATCTTCCCAGCACACGCCGTCGTTATAACAAGAGCCAAAAGCCCCCACCCTCTTCCACCGCGAATCGTAGCCACGTCTGTCTTTAATCCACTCGACGCAAAATACAATGGAAGAAGCAAACCAGAAATAAAGTCTTCAATCCTCTCTAACAATCTCTCCGCAAATTCTCCTCCTTTAGGAATCGTTAATCCAAAAATAAATGCACCAAAAATCGAATGTATTCCTATAACATCAGTTATAAATCCTGATACCATTACACCGCCTAAGGTCAAACATATATAAGCTTCATCCACCACGTCATGTTCCGGCGAGCAGCGACGGGCAACCCATGCCATGGCGGGTCGGATCACTATTAACATAAAAATAACAAATGCAAGAGCCGAAAGAAGTACCCATATTGATATTAATGGACTTTTGTTTTTGTCTGCGGCCATAGCGACGGCTAATGCAAGTAATATCCATGCAGCGACGTCATTGAACGCAGCGGCAGCCATGGCGATCTGGCCTATATTAGTGGTTAATAGTTTGACCTCTGCTAGAATCCGGGCGAGTAAAGGGAAAGCCGTGATGGAAAGTGAAACTCCCATGAATAGGAAGAATGGAACATAATCGACTTGGTCTTGCCCTTTGACTGCCTTTCGAAGAATGAAGGCTATGCCTATTCCAGAGACGAAAGGGAGAGAGATTCCGGCAAAAGCTATGCCAAAAGCACGCTTGCTACTCCGGCGAAGTGATGATAAATCGAGCTCGAGACCTACAAGGAAAATAAAAAACAAAAGACCAATGCTTGCTACAGAATCGAGTATTGGAATACTCCAATTTGGAAAAATCAAGTTCTTGTAGTTTGTAATTCGTCCCAAAGCCGATGGCCCTAATATTATCCCACCCTGAAAATGCAAATTTATGAATTATTATTAATTAACAAAGATTAAATACCACGTGGCCACAGATGCCAGATTCAAATTTTCTCCCTCAATATTCAAACAAAAAATAAATGGATTAATTCATGTATAAAACTGACTCGCAATATTAATTAATATAATATAAAAATAGCTAATATAATACATGAACACAAAATATGTTTTTAAATTTATAATGTTGAAATCTTAGAAATCTATTTAATTACATTATATTCTATTTTATATTATTGCGGTTTAGTAAATGGAACTTAAAATTTCGAATTTAAATCCTTAAATATACATATATAGAGAGAGAGAGAACATACAATCATCTCAGCAATGACTTTAGGTTGGCGGAGAGGCTTGAGAAGGAAGGCGCAAAAGCGGCTGACGACAAGAATTAAGGTAGTCTGGACAATCAATAATGGGAAGGCAAAGTGAAGAGGATTATCTCCTTGCCAAGCTCCATTTGATGAAGTTTTAACGGAAGTTATGTTTAAGGACATGATTAACTGATCTGAAGATGGAAATAATGACCTGACATAAAAGGAAGGCGATGATTGTAGAATACAGAAATTTAATACCAGTTGGCAATTTATAGAGATCTAGAGAAGATTACTTTTCAATACTTGTCACCACTGATTGGCCAATACAGTAAATTCACGTATTTCGGGTGTCCAAAAGATCCTACATTCGCTCTTTTTTATCCTCCTTCTTCTTCTATTTCTTTCTTTACACGTGTTTTTACATTCGATCAGAAGATAATATTTCCAACAGTCGGTTTTGTCTTTCCTTTTCCTGTATACATTGAATTTTTACAATGCTTTGTTTCCAGTTGGCTTATGGACAATAAATGCCCTTTCTTATAATATTATCTCTACGCTTTAGGTAATTAGAAAAAAAGTATATTCAATTTATTTTATGACTATATAATTAATTTTTTTTAATTCTTGTAAATAAAAATAGATCATGTATGTAACAATTGGAAATAAAGGGAGTATTTTTATTGAAACGGGTATATTTATGACTATATTTTGAGGAAAAAATTTTTTTAATTAATTTTTAAAAAATTTTATTTTCATTCATTTTGATCTATGAGCAGGGATATAAACCCACAAATTCAATCCTTACTTTTTGCCTAGAGATTAAAATATTATGAGAAGCAGACTTAAATTATTGTAATAAAATCTATTCATGCTTTGGGGTTAGTTTTATTGTCACTCTATTAATTTAAGTAATAACACACTAAATTTTTATTTGTAAAAATAAATGGTTTTTATTTTATTCACCGAAACATCAATAGACTGAAAAAATATTGTGGAGTACACAGTAAGATTAGCATTACTCTTTACAAAAATGGTGTTTAAGAAAATACTAATTACAGAAATTGCGTCCTCCAAAAAATATTTAGGAATATGATATTTTATTGATATTTCAAAGACATTTGTTACACTTTGAATGTGATAAGTACATTATTACACTGTAATTGTAACAAAAGCAATATTTTTTTTAATGCTGGCCAACAGCTTTATCAAACAAATATTTCACTCTTCCTCATTCCTTATTAAATGTTACACTTACAATACAACAATGTCAAACATGGATAACAGAAGAATATATTTATAATATTGTTCCACAATAAGTATAACAATCTATGAAACAAAAATTTAAAATCATGCAGGAAATTGTATTGAGCAGAAACAAAAATTTTAGAATCGTGCAGGGAATCACACTCAATTTTTATAAAAAAAACCTCTCCGATCTCTTATAAGGGTGCTCTACTCTTGTGTATCACTTTGTTAATTTTCTTTCTTTGTCATATCTTTAGACTACATATTATAATTTTTCACTACAACTACTCTAATTCTCAGCACATAAAAGTCTGACAAATCACATTTGAAGATTCATAGTTATATAAATATAGTGTAACAATAGACATTTTTCCTAGATTCTTTCTTTACAGGTTACACTTGCACCTATATAAATATAGTGTAACAATAGCAATAATACATTTTCCCAGATTCTTTCTTTAATGTTGTTACACTTAGAGCGTAACAATTGCACCTAGCACAAATGAATTTGTTTGGAAATTTTAACTATGCAAGAGCAGGAAATATATTCTGATATTGTTACGCTATAAGTGTACCATTTAACAAGGAGAGAGTGAGATAGAATATTTATTTGGTAAAACTATGGACAATATTAAAAATAAATAAATTTTTATTACTTTTGTTATGGCCATAATGTATGTAATAATACAGTTGCTACATTCAAAGCGTAATAAGTGTCTTTAAAATGTCAACAAAACATCATATCTATAAATATTGTTTGAGGAATACCATTTCCGTAATTTTTTTTTTTCTAAACCCCATTTTCCATAAAAAGCCTTTTATAATTCAAGTTAATGCAAAAAAATACATATTTCCGATTTTTTTTTTAAAAATACTTATTTCCTTTTTATTACAACAAACACGACAAAGTGCGTAATGCTAAACTAAGAGACGATGAATTTCTTCCGTTATATATGTCATGAATCATAATTGTATGAATCATGAATCTTAAATAATTTATGAAGATTAAGATTTAAGATTTGAACGCTCTCCAAAATTTTGATATTGGACATGTCTTGATTAGAACATGAATATACTAAATATACCATTAAATATGATTAGATACATGGATTTTATATTAATTAAAAAGTAATTTAATCGAATTAAATTACTCCCTCTGTCTCAAAATATAAGCAATTTTTAGTGATTATTTTGTCTTAAAATATAAGTTGTTTTAAATATTTTAAAGAGTAATAAATGATGTTTTTCCAATATTACCATTGTTTAAATTAGTTACAATAAATACTTCCAAAAATAACTATTGGTTTTGAAATAAATAATAATTTGGTCAAATTACTCTTGAATCTGTTATAATTAAGAGAATTAATAGATTTTTTAATCCTTGTGCAACAATCTTAAACGACTTATTTTTTGGGAGAAAGGATTAGTATCTTTCTTCCTCTTATTGCTTTTGTCGATCTCTGGTGCTTTTCTATATATTTTCTGTACCTCTCCATACATCAGCTTGTGGTATATTTGGTGTTTCCAGTCGACTTCTGACAAAGAAATTGGTGAATCTTGAGGAAATTTCTTGTTATTTTCGAGGGATTCTGCTTTTTATTTTTTTATTAAAATAATTATGAATTGGATTGTTGCGATAGCTTTCTTTTTCCCACTTGTTATCCATTATTGCCATACTAAAGGGCTACCTGTGATCAGATGTGTAGGTGGATTTGGTAGGTTGGATCGGAGGTTAGCCTCCATTTTTCAGATTAACATCACTTACCTTCACCTTCCAAAGGAGAAATAATGCATATAAAGTCAATTATTTTGGGTTAAATAATACTATATTAGAGTGTTGAATTGCCAATAGTATATAGAACCTGCCATGATTCGATTTTAAATTGAAATCAAATCAAGTCGACTGAAGTTAAAATATTGATATTTATAATTTTGGATTTAAACTTACTTATCTGAGATTGACTTGAATTGTAATTTTTGAAAATTGACTGAAACTAAAATCGAAATTTAATTTAGTTTTCAATTGATGTTCTGTAACCCGAAATTACGATATGGTCTAATTTTCTATCTAAATTTTAAATTATTTTTTTATAAATGCAAATGCATAGACAAAAACTACAATTATTATTATTACTACTATTTTGGATGTTGGACTTAAGTATGCATTCAGATTGATTTTATTTTAATGATTGATTCTGAATCTAAGCAGACATACTGAGATTTAAATTTCTTTAATCCAAAAAATCAAATCGAACACGTTAATAAAGTTTTTTTTTTTTGGGAGAAAGGGTTTATAAAGTTCTTTAATGAATTATGATTCATTTTTTTAAAATAATTGTTCACCAATAATTAATAATCAAATTCAAAAAAAGAAAAAATTGTTAGAAAAGCCAAAACGTGATTTTTGACTATCAGTTGGAAGCGAAATGTCAAACTGATATGCAATATGAATTCATCTGGTGACTAAAACTTTACACATGATAAAATGAATTGTTTTGAACATAAAAATCAAACCTGTCGCTAACTAATCACAAGAACCTTGCAAAAGTCTCGTAACCTAAAGTACAATATCATCACCATTTCTGTGAAGCAATTTGCTTTTGCAGTTGAAATTTGGCACGTTAAATGTTCTTGTTCTATCCACGTCCATTCTTGGAGATCTTGCAGTAAAAAGAAATAAAAAATATTAACTTTGCCCAATTCCTTCAATAGTTTTATTTTTCACAATAATTCTGACTCTAAATGTAATTATCGTTTTAATTCAGCTGATATGACCATTAAATTAATAATGTGGATTTCATACATAACCAACTAATGTCTAGAGATGACAAAATGGGTTATGATATGAGAATAATTAACCTAACACAAAAATTAAAAGAGTTAGAGTTCAGTTTAAATAGATTTATGTCGTAAAGAGATAATCTGTATATAAGACGAATTTTAAATGAGTCATTTCAAAGATCGACTCATTTAACCATTTAATTAAGGGTAAAACAATATGCTCATAATATAGCTTTTGCAGTCTGAATTTGACGATTAAAATGTTCTTGTTCTATCCACGTCCATTCTTGGAGATCTTGCAGTTTAAAAAAGAAATAAAAAAATATTAAACTTTTTGCCCAATTCACTTTCAATCCAGTTTTATTGTTTTCACAATTAATAATCTGACTCTCAAATGTGTAATTATCGTTTTAGAGTCAGTCTAATATGACTTTAATTTCAATATGTGGATTTCATACATAACCAACTAATGTCTAGAGATGACAAAATGTGTTATGATATGAGAATAAATTAAAACCTAACACAAAAATTAAAAGAGTTAAGATTCGTTTAAATAGAAATTTATGTCGTAAAGAGAATAATCTGTATATAAGACGAATTTTTAAATGAGTCATTTCTAAGATCGACTCATTGAACCATTTAATTAAAGGGTAAAATTACAGATAGTTGCTCATAAGTATATAGTATAGATATATATTATATATATATATATATGATAGGTATATATATATATATATAGAAGTATATCAAAGACAATGAAGATAATTTGTGCACCTTATAAAATTGCTCAAGATAATATGTAAATTAAAAATGGTTAACTTGAACAAAATAACTTAGTAATGCAAAGGTCTAAATTTGTTTTAAACTCACACATTTAAACTGCATAGAACCATTTATATTGCTCTGAAGATTACAGAACCTTTTTAGTTATGGAATAATATAGAAAAAGTGTAAAGACCCCAAAGGAAGTAAAGATTCATATGTTTACGAGGCCTACCAAAATTTTCTCAGTCAAAAGTAAAAAGAAATTGTATTAAAATAAATTTTAAATAAGGATCAATTTATAGTCAGGACGTTTCAGGTTTAGTTCTCTGCACTCAGTCAAGCAAATAGCTTTGCTTGACACTCCCTTAAGCATCTGTAAATTATAATAGAAGAAAATCACAACCTCTAGTTTTTAGTGAACTCTGAACTTCAGAAAATATTAAACAATTTTTTGAATA